ACTGGGACGGAATGGTGGGGTGGCACAGTGAAGGGGGGGTGATCTTTGGGAAATCTTTATAGCTTTTACAAATAATAGTACTAATAATAATTTCTAGTCTTTTTAAAGCACTTCACTTTTTCCTCTGAAACCCTCCCGGTTTCTTCAAGAGAAATCGCTCAATTCCCTAGAAACATGTTTTTCTAACTAAGTAGATTAGTTTACATCTTGTGGCACTTAAAAACATTATTATTATACCAAAAAAAAAAAAAGGCTCAGATTTATGGCTCTTTCTCAGGCCAGATCTCCCTGGCAGTGCTCATTGGCTTTAACTTCTGTTTCTACAAAGCCCTTTCAGCTGCCAGGCTTGCTCTGTCTCTCCTTCTCTTCCCGTCCGCTCTGCACGTCTCATGAACCTCTTCTCCCCAACCAGGGCTTTGCCCCAGGACTATAATCGACTGGCTCACTGCAGGGAGAGGTGTTAGCAAACTGTCACTCATCACAGTCTCTCGTAGACCCCATGTGTGCCACAATTACAACCCTGTTAGGGGATTGGTTACAACACAGTTGTCACTTGACCCCGTTCCAACACCGATAAAGATTATAGTGTAGATGGAACCTAGCCAGGTCCCTGTAATCAGACTAACACTAGGCCATGTATGGCCATCGAGCACTGCCCCCTCCTTCTTTTGCATCTCCTCTCCTTTCAGCTTTCTGGACAACTTCCCGTCCCGTGGCTGGATGTGATTCGGTGCTATGCCACCAGCCCCAGTGCCATCTGCCCAGACTGGTGCTGCTCTCTGATACTTACTGTTGTGAATTCTCTCCCCTGGAGAGTTAGTCTGCCTGCAGATACAGCCAGTACTTGGCCCAGTGAGCTGCTGGTCCTGACAGGGCCCTTAGCGCCCCACAGCATTAGTGACACAGGTCTGATCAAGGAATGAGAGCAAAGACTGGCATGAGGTCTTGCAGTGGGATTCTTGACTCACCCTGAATCCTCTTCTGGACAAATCCGCACTTTGTGGGTTCCTTGAATGCTGCATTTGAAGCCTAAGGACAGACGTCGAACACCAAGGCTATGGCTACACTGCCCAGTTAACCTGGGTGATCAGTACCTGGGTCTGAGCACCCAGGTTAGCCTAGCCCACATGTGAGCATCCCCACAGCAACGTCTCAGAGCTGCCCTCCTTGCCTCAGCCATGCTCCCCACCATGGCAGGAGGGACGGGGTGTGTGTGTGTTATATACCTACACTGGGTGAGCTTCCCAGGATTCAATAGACCAACTTTAAAGCAGAATGGTACAAAGCAGCCTTAACACACCGGAGAAGCTGGGGCAGTTGCTAAATCACAATATCTTAAATTGGTGCATTTCACATGTGCCCTATAAACTGGAGCTGGGTGAAAACTTTTCATCAAAACAATTTGCCATTGAGAAATGCCATCATGATGAAAATAATTTTTTCGCAAAATTGTATCAATTTTGATAAAAGTTCATTTTGGGAAAAACGTTTAAAAATGTCAAAACTTCCAGACATGTTGTTTTGAAATTTATTTTATTTTATAATAAAACATTTAAAAAAATAATAAATGGTCAAAATTAAAACAAAATTTTGGTTAAGCTGGGGGGGGAATGTGAATTTTGTTTTTTGAAAATTTGTGAAATTTTGGCTTTTCCTGTTCATTTGGGATGAAAAAAAATGTCAAGCTCTCCAAAGATTTTGTGGAATGGAAAATCCATTTTCGGGGGGGGGAGGGAGGCGCTCTACCATAAACACAACCAAACTGATGGGATGAAATCTGCTCGCCACGGCTGGAGCACTTGGTCCTGAAATAACTCCTATATAGGAGCCAAGACTTTCCAACTGATTAGCTTGAATAACTAGCTCACGAAAGAGTCCAAATATAGTCATTTACGCCAATTAAGGATGTGACCCATAGACTTTCTTAAACTACTATGGAGAAGTTCCTGTACTTTTAATCTGCCCATTGTTCCTTTCACATTTAGCCTTCAGATTTTTAGGTAGACTTGTTACTTCAAGTTATGTTGTTGTGTTTAGTTTTGCTATAATTATTTAAAAAAATAGCAGTGACATTATGGGCTTTCTTCTGGTCTTTCAAACCCTGGTGTAAATCAAGAGTAACTCAGGTAAGATCAACCAGTCAAATTCTCTCCTATTTCCATTGATGTAAATCTACAGTAAGGCTGTGTAAACCAGCTGAGTTGGATTAGATTTGTACTGGTTTAGCCAAGAGCAGATTTCAGCCCACTGGAATAATTCAGGACAGGTAAAGCCAGTATCAGCAAGATCAGAAGCAGCACTGAGCAGTTCTCCAAAAACAGTTAAAAATGATGTGAAGTTCACTCCTTGCACAAGGTCTCAAAAGTCCACTAAAGCCCTGAAAACAGGCTCTGCACAGGAGTGAATTTTGCCCATAAGGCATAAACATAATAAAGTTCTGTCCCAGGTCACCTCTGTCAGAAAGTCAGCCCCATCTGGCAGCAGCTCCCTGGCCTGTGGAATGAGCTGGCCATCTCAGGCCATTTTCCAGGGGAGAAAGGTCCACATCCCAAAACCACCATTGCCAAGGGCACTCGGGCTGCCCACTCAGCAGAGAAGCCGAGGACTGAATGGGCCGTGGAGAACGAACTCTATTCTCTCTCTAGAGCTGTGCCTTAGAGTCACGGTTCAGATCCATTGGTGGTGGTGGATGTGCAGGAAGCTTCCACTGCTGCTGCCCATACTGTATTTGTTCTGTTAATAAAGAAAGGGATTCAGGCCCCAGGACGGGCAATCAAGCATCCTCTGTCAGCACTAGATTCATTCAAAAAGGGAAGGGAGAGAAATGGAAAAACCCAGCATAAATGTCTTTATCATAAAAGTTGCCAGAGTGTGGCTCTGTGCTTCCCTAAATAAAAAGGGAGAGGAGAACAAAGCGAAGCAGGAAAAGACCGGTGGCCCCTGGGCACTGTGAGCCCAGCCGAGGTGGGCAGGGCAAGCTGGGGTAGAGGACAGCGCTCACTCCCCTTTGCTGGGGAATTAGCTTCGTGCTGAGCTGCTTTTATCAGTGACAAATTTGGAGCCGGCAGCACAAAGGCCAGAATAAAAGGGATCAGGGCGGAAAGGGAGAGAGCAGCAGAATCCAGGTCCGTTTGTGTTTCTGGTTTTCTTCCTTTTTTCTTGTGGAAGTTGGCACGGGGAGGTTGGTGTTTTGTTTTGTTTCTTTCTCTCCGATCCCTCTGGCAACCCACAAACAAAGAGAACTTCATTGACTGCTTGCCCTGTCCCAGGGGAAATGTAGCCAAGCTAGACAGAGAATCTGCAAGAGGGGAAGAGAGGAAGAAAGATGGGCTCAGAAAAGCATAACCTAAGCAAAATGTGTGGAGAGAGACAAATTGAGCTGTTCAAAGGATGGTGGCAGAAGAAAGGAATGAAGAGGGGGCTGCTTTGAGAAATCCTTGGGATCAAAGATGTTGGGGAGAAAGGTTCCAGAACTGCTCTGCTCTTCATACAAAGCTGTGGCTTCCAGCAATAGACATAAAAAGGCTGGCCTATGGCATGAGCCCAGCCCTATGGAACGTGGCCAGATCAGGGAGCGCAACGCCCTGTGCTGTGCCAAAGACCTGAAATGATGCTGCATGTCCACAAAGGACACCTCCCCGGCCACATCCCAGCAGCACAATGCCCCCCATGGGCGGGAGGTGGCGTGTGTTCAGGTTATTCAGGGAAACACCTCCTGCAGCAGAGCAGACTCCTACACTGTTGGTGTGCTGTGAGGTGGGGAGATGGAACGTGTTCAAACATGCCTATCTGTGGCTGGACTCTCCCATTCCTGTTGTCTCCATACTCACAGCCTTGGTGTTACCCTCGACTCCAATCTCCTTCTCCTCCCACATCCCCCATATTTGCAGATCTGCAGCACTCCTCCTGTGTGATCCTGCCTTGATTTCACCACCTCTCCCTTTGCATCTCCTCTCCCTTGGACTCCTGCAACTCCCTCCTCTGTTTCCCAGCGCTCCAGGGCCTGGCATGTGCAGAACTGCATTGCTCCTGCCTCCTCACACTCATGAGGAAGCTTGATCCCATCCCATGCCATAGACAGTTCCACTGACTTCCCGTCTGCATCAGAATACAGGTCAAAAGGATTCTACATAGGCCAAGTTCATCCCTGGAGTAACACCCTTAACTTCAGTGGAATTACATGAGTTTGGCACAATGTGTTCTAACTCCCTCTTTGGGACTTTCTCCAGCACATCCTAAGGGACATGGGGCCAGAATCTCAGCTGGTGTAACTCAGTGTAGTTTTGTTGGCTTTGATGGAGCTATGCTGACTTACATCAGCTGAAGATCTGACCTCTCTGGGCCTCTCTCCCAGCTCCTTTATTTAGCTAGCATCAGCCTCATTCTCACAATCTGGCTATTGATGGTGCAAGAACCTTCTCCTTTGCTGCTCCTACCACCTGGGACACCTTGCCTCTATTACTCCACTGTCCATCTCAAATCTAAGCTGAGGATACATTTTCTCCCTCGCTTATGGCTATTATTATTTAATATTCTCAAATATTATCCCAAGAGACCCAGTCAGAATCCATTATGCTAGAAGCTGTGCAAACACATACAAAGACAGTCCCTGTCTGAAGAGTTTAAAATCTGTGCCTCTTGATTTCTCTCAGCCATCGCTGTTATTTATTATTAGCTCTACAGTTTTATTATCCACAGCTGCTGTAAATCGGTAGAGCTCAGCTGAAGTCAGAGGAGCTTCATCAACTGAGGATCTGGCTCAAAAGCTCTAGAGTGTTTGAGGATTCAGTTTGTCTGAAATCTGCTGTATGAAATTATATTGCCTTTTATTGGTCTTTGCCCCAGGTGGGTGATTCATTGTTAATGCCAGCGTACAGTGCCGCAGGTGAGAGATGCAAACTTCCCCTAGCCTCTCCTTCCCCCCGGTTGTTATGGTTTTGCTTGTATGGGGTTTGTTTGAAACTACTCAGCGCTTAGTTTGCTCTGTTCCTTCTCTGCAGACTGTGATTCGTACTGCAAGCCAGCCAAAGGCAACTACAAGATTAATATGAAAAAATACTGCAAGAAGGATTATGGTAAGCAGCTCTTCCTTCCTGAAGTCAACTTTGCAGGGAAGAAGAGTGAGGAAAAGGGCCAGTAGACACCTGCAGCCAGGCCTTGGATCAGCGAGCCCAGTCCTGGGATGGGAGCAGAATTAGACTGTCCCACCCTGTTCTGTCAGAACATCTCACCCTGCCCTACATGGGTCGTGCTTTTCTGGTGTGGGAGGAGAATTCAGTCTGTGTTCACTCCATCCAAGCTTCCCCCACCCTCTGATCCTCTCCTATTGGGCCTCAATCTAGCCAGAGATCCAGCAGCTAACAGAGAGGCATCCAAGGTCAGCAGTGACCAAAAGTCATTGCCATCTGGTGGTAGTTCGATGGCCCATGGTGGTCTCCGGCCAGTGGCGGACTGGTGTCGACATCCCCTGTCTTTCCTCAGCTGACCCTCACCCTCACTGTAAGAGATGGCAATCAGCACCCTAGTTGGTAGAGATGCTAAAAATTAAAGGCTTTCTTGTCCAATGGCTTGAATATGCACTTGCGGGCAGGAATCTGAGAATTTGGTGTTTTCATTCTCTGATTTGCACCTGCAGTCAGGAAGTCAGGGCTACAATTACTCAGGGTTAATTTAATTTAATGAAGGGCGCCAATTTTCCAGACACTTCAAGGGAAGCCTTCCTTCCCCAAATTCACCCCGAATACACATGGAGTCTAGGTGAGCCTCTCACTTCTTGAGGTCATCCGTCTACAGTGCTGAAGTGCACCAATGAGGGAGTGCTGGAAGCTAGTGCTGCCACTGCCCGTCTGGTACCTGCTGTGGAGGCAAAATGAGACCTTCGGTCTCTGGGGCTATCAGTCTGGCCCTTTCCACCAGCATGAAATTCATTAAAGCAAACCTTTTAAACCATTCCATGCCCTCTCCCCCTCTGTCCCTCCCTGCCTGCCAGATACCTTACAAAGAACATTTTCTCTGTACTCTTGTTGTCTGAGGGGTCTTGGGAGAAAGCTGATGTGAATCGCCACTGTGAGGCCAGGCTGGGCGGATGCTGACTGCACGTTGTTAATCACTGTGACACGGGGCCATTCACACTCGGGCATGGAGGGAGGTTCACTGGAGAGAGCTGTTTGATTGATCTTCCACAGGAACCCTTGGCTCCATCTGAAAAGATGGTTTTGGCAAGGTGGAGAGCAAAAGAAATGGCTGTCAGATGGCTCTGAGTCAGGGGGTGGGGGAGGAGGCTGGAGTGAATGGGAGTTTGGAGAGAGAAGAGCTCACCAGAACTAGCCCTTCCATTCAGCTAGACTTTCTTGCAACTTTAACCCATTTACGTTTCTCAGGACTTTCAGTGGAAGGGCTCCAGCTAGCCACCTGTGCCATACGTGCCCATAATAGAGTCATGGGAGCTTGTAGATCCCCCGTAAAAGGAATTCTAAATGTGGGTCATTTCAGTGTTGAAAAATTCAAAATTGTTTTAGCCGGCTGTGGCGGGGCGATGACTCACCGGCACAGCACCTCCTGCTGGCCATCTCGGGAATTAGCTCTTTCCAGCCTGGAGCACCTTCTGCAGGCCGGTGTCTCGCCTGCCGCTGGCCCCATGTCCTTCCCAGACCCCGGTGCCCTTTGCCCAGGGGTCCTGCCCACCGCAGTACCCCCTCACTCTGGGTCTCCCCTTCCAGGGGAACCCCCCAACACTCTAAACCCATCTTGCCTCAGTGGCTACTGCCAGTCATCATCTAGCCCCTCTCACTGGGGCAAACTGCAGTCTGTAAACCACTCATCATCGGCAAGGGGGGTTAGGACCCTCACTGGGGCAAACTGCAGTCTGTAAACCACTCATCATCGGCAATGGGGGTTAGGACCTGCTGCCTTTGCCTGTCTCTGGGCTGCCCCTCTGCAGCTCCAGTACCCTTTTTGGCCTTCTAGCAAGGCCTACAGCCTGGGGTTTTACTAGGCTGGAGCTCCCCAGCTCCCTCTGCCTTTCCCCAGCACTGCTCCACCTCAGGTACCCTTCTCAGGTCCCAAGCAGCCCAGTACTTCTCTCTCAGGAGCTAGAGAGAGAGTCTCTTTTTCTCAGCCTCTGGCCCTCAGCCCTTTTATCAGGCCAGCTGTGGCCTGATTGGGGCGTGGCCCCATCTGTGGCTGCTTTCCCCAATCAGCCTAGCTTTTCCCCACCACAGCCCTCTCCCAGGGCTGTTTTAAGCCCTTCAGGGCAGGAGTGGGGTGACCACCTCACTACACCAGCAAATATCTATTGAGCCACAAAACTCTAATTTCCAGGTACTTTCCAGCTATTTCTTTTAGGATGACCCCTGATTTTCCTCCTCAATCCCTGAGCTGCTCTTTGTACTTATGGGCCCCATATGAGCACCTCACAAATAGGCATGACTTTATCCTCACAACACTCCTGAGAGCCAGGGAAACATTCTCCCCATGGAGAACTGAGGCACAGAGAGATTGTAAGTGACTGGCTCCAGGTCATGTAAGGAGTCTGTGACAGAGCTAGGAACTGAGTGCACATCTCCTGAGTCACAGGCTACAAACACCCAGGACCACCCATAGCCCATCCAGCCAAGCATCTGTTACAACTGCTTGTTGGGAGTCCCGTCACTGGGTTGTGGTTGGGGAGGTCTGAGGCATTAATGTGGCCTCATTCTGAAACCTGACACAGGTTTTACCCCCGCATAACCTCAACAAAGTTAACCCCAATTAACACCAATGTCAGTGAAGGGAGAATCAGGCCTTCCAGCTCTTTTTGCTGCCCTGTGTCTTCCAGGGCCAAATCACTGCCTTTCCACTTTGGTTTCACCACCGTCCTGCCCCTTCCTCATGCACTTGGCCTGAGATGAAATCATGTTTGGCCAGCAAACCTCAGAACCATATCAAAGTCCCAAAGCAGGGTGGATGTCACTGACTAGCAAAGCGTGTCTGAAAAGGAAAATTAAGCAACATCTTGTCCTCCTGCAGTGCAGGTGGAATTTGGAGGCTCAGTAGGCTCCTGAAGTCTGCCTTTTCTGAGCACTCAGCAGTCCCAGTCATCCTCTGGACCACAGACAGCTGTGCCCTGGGGGCCTGTTGCTTTAAGAAGCATGGGGATAGCCGTGCTGAATAAGGCTGGTCAAAAAATGCTAATCACTTTTCACTGGCAATTTTGGAAAATTGATATGAGTTTGGGGGGAGAGGGGGGTAAATTTTCCAGTTTTTCATAAAAAACAAAAACAAAAAAAGTTGGTGATTTTTTTTTTCATTTTTTGTTGGAAATTTTACCAAAACTAGAATTTTTTTACTGAAAAATGTATTGTGAGCATTTTTGTTTTCATCACAAAGCCATTTCTCATCCCCAAAAACTGTTTTGATGGAAAAATTCCAAGCGTCTCTAATGCCAAGTCACCGAGTGTTGTGGTGAGAAGACATAACTAGATCTTGTGGAATTGGTCCATCGAGAAGCTGCAGTGCAACAGGATAGAGTGTTTTCTTAAAGGGTGGATGGTTCCCCTGTCAGAGCAGAAACAATCCCGCAAAGATTGAGCCATGGAAATTTGCCTGTTGCCAGAACAAGGGGGTCGGGGAGGAGAGTATCATCGCTGACTCTTGCTCTACTCTCAGCGTCTCTCTTTGTCTCTCCCCCAGTTGTCCAAGTGAATGTCTTAGACATGGAGACAGTGGCCAACTGGGCTAAGTTCACTGTCAACGTCCTCTCGGTCTACAAGTGCCGCGATGAGCGTGTGAAGCGTGGTGATAACTTCCTGTGGATCCACATGAAAGACCTGGCCTGCAAGTGCCCCAAGATCCAAATCAGCAGAAAATACCTTGTCATGGGGATCAGCGAAAACCCCACTGACCGACCAGGACTCATGGCTGACAAGAACAGCCTAGTTATCCAATGGCGGGATGCCTGGACCCGGCGTCTGCGGAAACTGCAGCGGCGGGAGAAGAAGGGGAAGTGTTTGAAACCATGATGGGCTTTGTGTCTGTCGCTTACTAAAGTCCCCGCCCTATGCGCATTCTTCAGACTGTTCCCCAGAGACTCTGTATATATATATAGCGTGAACAGACTCTCCTGTCTATAGTGTATATTTGCGATGGGTTCCTTTGTGTGCGTGAAGGCCTGGGTGTGCCTGGGGGTGTGTGTGTCCTTAATGTTGATTAAAAGTAACACAGTAAGGACAAGCCTTTAAAGAGGAGTGAAGTGGAGGATGAGCCCAGTGTTGCTAGGTCTGAAGTTGCTCAGAGGATATAAGCAAAAGGCCTCTCCGTCAGGGCCCCTCTCCTGTGGGCGTCTCATTGTTTCTGATCTCTCTTCACTTTCGGGGGTGAGCTCCAGGCCCTGCCTGCTCCCAGTGTCCGAGCGCAAGTCCTCAGCTCTTCACTCAGCCACGGTATACCTGGGTGTGGACTAGTCTAAGCTCTTCAGTCCCCTTCCCATCCATAGCAGCTGAGACTAGCCTGGTGTCAGTTCATGGATTATGAGGCCAAAAGAGACCATTGTGATCATCTCGTTTGCCCTCCTGCATAGCACAGGCCAGAGAACTTCCCTGACTTAACTTCCCCCATTCCCATCTTCTACCCTATTTCAGGTCACCCTGAAGGGAAAGCAAAAGCATTGGACATAGAGGGTCAGATTCTTCTGTCATATATACTGGTATAGGTAAGGAGTAAGTGCATGGCTTGCTAATGGATTTCCATATGCATACAGTATGAGAGGAGATTCCAGCCCTGGAGTTCCATGAAAAACCAAAGTGTCTAATTTGCCAGTTACATCATGTTTATGTTGATACACCATCATTGATTTCACTGATGTGACACAGTGAGAATCAGGCCCTTTGGGTTTATTCAGCCACTGCTGGAATGCACCAGCCCCCACCTGCAGACTGGTCTTAGCCAAGGTCACTGCCAAAGGCCTTCTTATATCCTCTCAGAAAATGTGTACGTTTGTGGGGGCAGATCCTCAGCTGGTGCAAATCAGCCAATTTGCATCAGCTGAGGATCTGGCTCGACATGCATAATTCAGCTGTGGGCCTGATTCTGCCCTGCTTTTCACCCAATGTAGTTATTTTCATCTGGGCCAAAGGACTGTGAAAAGCTGCGATTCAGACTTGGACAATGATTTGCAGAGGTGTAAATGGGGGCAGAAGGTGAAATCCCAGGAAGATCGAGTCCTCAGGGTGTTTTTATGCTTCCCCAGCCCTCTGAGTCTCAAGGGGGCAGGATTGATAAAGCAAAGCTAATGCACTGGTGGTTATGGTGAGAAGCTCTAGTTCACCAGGGCAAGGGAATTGTAGTCCCTTGACACAGGCACATTCCAAATGGGCACAGAGTGGGCCTGGGTGGCTGTTGGATTGGATCTACTCAGAGGGCAGGAAATGGTGCAGCAAGATAACGGAGCAGCCTGAAAACAGTGTGTGGCGGGATGATCCCTGTAAACCAATTGCCGTGGGCACCTGTGGCTCAGGGAGATGTTACGCTGTAGAGCAGTTTAAGACTGAGGCTCGTTGGCAGAGCTGTGTGAGGGCCCAGGCCTGGCACAGGGGACTTTGCAGGTTAAGATACTGGCAGAATTGTGTTTTAGCTCAGGAATGGAAGAGTGTTTTGAGGCCAGACTGAGGTGACCTGTATGGTGATGCGGGACTGAACACCAGGAGGTGTTTTGGGGCATGATTAAGGTACATTAGCAGAGCTGGCTGAAGGCCCAGAATTGGCTTAGCAAAGCTCTTTGAGGTCAGGAATGTCATGCACTGAAGGCCCATGAAAGCTGGCAGAACAAGGGGTTGCTGAAAATCAAAATTGTATAGCTGTGGGAGGACCAGAGACAGACTAGCAAATGGTCATGTGAGGTGTGCTGACTGGACTAGTTTGCCCAGTGCCTGCCTTTGCTGTTCTCACTGCAGACAGTACTAGCAGGCGCACCCTTGTGTTTGCATTAGTACAAGGAGCAGAGTGGAAATGCACATTCCTGACACCTAGTCACTACTCGTGTTATTTACATTCAGCCACCATCATGGGATGGTCTTTGAATTACATTCTATTCCCCCCGCCCCAGCAATTCATGTCACCTGGGACCATACATGTGGGGCCATGTTTACTTACAATGCCAATACCTGGCCAATTGTTGAAGTCAATTGCAAAAAACCCACCCTTTTCTCCAGGGGGGCTTGAGTTCACACTGCAGCCTGATTCTCCTCTCATACCAATTTTACACCAGTGCAACTTGCTTGACTTGAGTGCAGTTACTCCTCATTTACCTGGTATAAGTGTGATCAGGACCAGACCCACAGTGTGCTGTGTCACACATATTTTGCACACCCACTGAACACCAAAGCCCTGATTCTGATCTCATTGACACCCATGTAATTCCAGAGCAACACCATTAAAGCCACCTGAGGTACCCTGGATTTACATGGATGTAACTGACCTCAGGAGTTGACCCCCCCCCCCCCCCAAAAGCCATTGCTGTGCTAGGAACTGTCATTTCCTAACCAATTTACACCATGGGGCAAACTCAGGCCTGGTGTAAGCAGCTGCAATGCCATTTCTGACTATGCTTAGGGAAGGAGCTGTACAATGGTTTATTATTGTAGGGTTACAAATAAAGCCCATTTTGTTTATGGCCCTACTAATGTATTCTAGCAGAACAACACTCTAGCAGCCTTCAGGGCTCATTTTTGGCCTCTGAGCCATACCAATGCCCCCTCCATTCCGTGTCAATCCCCCTACCTACTTCTGATACATGCAAAGGGGCACATAGAGTCTGACTGCAGAATAAGCTAGCGTGACAGCTGCCTACTGCAGGGAGGGGTGGGAGGCCAAGACCTGTCTCCTGGGACACTGGAATACTGGCTAGGGCATGGTGGAGCGGCGTGAATGCCCAACGCCAGGTTACTAACCTGTGAGCTGGTGATTATATGGGGGGCAGGGCTCCCAGAGTTGCACTGAATGTAGTAATTGACATAATGGCCACAGGCGCCTTGACAAGTAACAGACTCGTGTGTTTCTAACACAGTTGTGACACTGGCCCATTCATAGCATAGTAACTGCTCATCCCTCGGGTCACCTGCGTTGATGTAGCGGCTTGACAGGGCTTTGAGCGAACTCGCTCGCTCCTGGGGTTAAATGTTACAGGTACTTTCTGTTTAAAATGTTCCTGTGAATTACAGCCACATAGTGAGAACAAACGTCATGTCCCCTCCTGCTCCACATGCACCCCCTGTGATCTCAGGTGGGAGGACAAGGGTGGCGCACAATCTGTTCAGGTGCCAGTTGATGGGGAAAATGCACAGAGTACTCATTCCCTGCTTTAGCCTAATGTGACTCTACCTTCCCATCCCTCCAGTGTTGGTGAGCCACAGAACCTGGTCCACCCCCACCTTACCCTGTGTGCAGTCAGTTACACTAGTGCAACGTGGTCATGCAACCCGTTACCAACTAATGGGCCAGACCCTCAGTTGTTGCAGCCTGTCATAACTCCACGGAGGGCAATAGAAGCACTTCTACTTCACATCAGCTGAGGAGCTGGCCCAGGAATGGGAGTGTTTGACTCCCCTTTGCAGCACACAGGGTGCAGGCTAGGCGAGAATCAGGCCCACAGGCCTCTGCAGTGGCGTGATGGGCCCCGGTCAACTCCCATTGAAGCCTAAAGAGGCTTGTTCTGCTGGCTTCTATGGGCACAGTCGCCGTCACTTTCGCTGTCCCTAGTTTCTTGGGGGTAGGGGAGACGGAGTGTGTGTGTGTATCTGTGTGTGTGCGCACGTGTGCTGCTGTTCCTGTTCTGCAACAAAGACCCTCTCAAAGCAAACAGGAAAGTGTGCAGCTGTCACAGTAACCGCTTAACTCCCAAGCTGCTAGGCACAAACCAAGAGAAGGGTTTTTTTATGGGTTTTGCATGGTCACTGAGAACGGATGCTCCTGGGTGAATGTGCTGCAGAGAATTTCTCACTTTCTCATGCACTAAATGTCACTTGGGCTGTATTTTTGGGGGGAGGGAACTCACCCTACATAGAGCTGCGGCACAAGTGCATCTTAAATCACACCTACACCCTGAGTGGGGCTGCAGGGGTGCTGAAGCTGCCTGCTGACCATCTGTACAAGGGGTGGATTTCACTGCTGTAGCTTATGAACCTTGGGTGCCCAGACTGCAGCCTAAGGGTCAAATCCAGCCCAGCCCAGCCTAAAACACAGCTCACTGCTGCTCTCTCCGTACCAGGTGAGGACGAAACTGTAGGGTTTGACAGCTGGTGAACTCAGACCACAAGCCATTTCGCGTCATATTCCTTTACTGAGCAAGTAAATGCTATGGTTGACATTTGCAAAGCTGTCTAGGGGAGTTAGATGCTGCTCTAATTAAAGAGGCACATCTACAGCCCCTAGGCTGCTTGGAGACTCGCAGTCTATGACTGTGTGCCTTTACTTTGTATTTAAACATACAACCATATAAGGGCAGATTCAGGACAGTTTTTGGTGTTCTGGCAAGTTGTCCTTGAACATTGCAACGTTTGGGCACCCAGAATGGTATGACATGGGCTGAGCCAGCTGCAAGAAACACCATCTCCCTGTCCCTCTTCTCAGGCCAGCTTTGGACCTCTAGGTTATAACATGTATGTCGTGTCAATAGTTTCCAAAATGCAACAGAGCAAAAGAATTGGAGGGAGGCTATGGACCAGGCCATCTCCATGAAATACTGTTGAATATGTAAAAAAATAACAACCAATGTTATGGAACATAGTGTAACATATATAAGATATGTACTTTTTCTTTTTTATTATTATTGTTTTTAATAACACGAGTCTAATGTGTATTGCCTGCCTAATTTGGTGTTTTCTTTCCCTGAGACTGCAGTTTGCATTTGGCTTTTGATGCTAAACTGCTGATGACACCGGACATGGGTTCTGCTGCTTCTTAATTGCACCAGTAAGGCCTCTTGGAAGAATGCCTCACGCAGAGCACAAGGCAGGTGCTCAGCACAGCTGGGGTAAATGTGCTTACTTACATCAGCTGAAGATCTGTGAGTTTGCGGGGTGGGAGGCACTGAGACCCAGGCTGGATTCCAAAGGAAGAGGCTCAAGGGATCCCATCAAGATCAAAACCAAGGGCCCTGATTCTGAGCTCACTTAAATGAAATTCACCCCTGGGCCTATGCACACTGATTAAGTCCCACCTGCTCTGAGTGGTGCCTAGACTTTGGGCTGGTATTCTGCACAGGAGTGAAGGTCACTCTTACCCGCATTTTACTCTGGTGCAACCCCATTTGCTTCAGTAACTAGACATGGGTGTATGAGTGAAACCAAAATCAGGCACTGGGGCCAACTCTCTGCTGGCAACGATTGGTGCAGCTCCATGGCAATCACTGGACTTGGGGAAGTTTGCACCAGTAGAAAATGTGCTGTCGTATTTTTAAAATTGCCTGTAGCTTTGTTACTAGCGCCACCTTTGATTATGAAAAATGCCTGGGCAGCTCCTCAGCTGGTGTAGATCAGCATGGCTGCATGGAATTACAACAGTCTACAACAGCTGAGGAGCTGGCTCAGACCTCTGAAAGTGGTACAGCAAAGAGCCCATTTCTCTCCACTTGGTGAAGCTTAAAGAAAGGCTGGTCAGTAACCGCACAGAAAACTGCCATTGAGGCGAGTAGGGGATGGAGCATGCACACACTTACTGGTCGCACTTATAGTAAGGGTCCTCTTACAAAAAGTTTACAAAAGGTGGATAAATAATTAACAGATGCTATAAGCATGTGACAGATATGAGTGGTATGTGTGACAGCGGGTTATAAACAAATCAGGAGGCAGTGTTACAGATGATTATATGTAATCTATTGACCTGTTGGATTGTATAACAATCTGTAATAAATGATGGACTATTTATTAAACCATCTATTAACATTTTATTAACCCTTTATAAGCTATTTAGAAACAGACTCTGAAAATAGTGGGTGCCACTGACTAGCAGGCATATTAACCTCAATAGCATATTAACCTCAAAGCTTCCTGAGCAAATTTTCTCACTTTTGTCACTTCTTGACCCTTCTTCCAGTCCATATTAAATGCCACTTCTTCCATACAAAGCCCTGGCGCACCTCGCCTCTGGCTGCTGAGAACGGCCATTTACTTCCAGTTCTGAAGGTGGTTTTAATCGATGACAGACTTTACCTCTAACTCTGGAGTTACCAGGTTTCCTTAATAGCCTCTTGTGAGGATTTAATCAAAAATTCAACCCTGAAATTCCAAGTGAGTCACACCACCAGCCCCCATCCACTCTCCTGGTTCTAAAGGACCTAGCAGGCTGGGGAGAAGTCAGGCTTAGTTTGTTACATGCGGCTCGATGATTGAATATTCTTTGGTTAATCTAAATCGAATCTCTTCTATTGATGCGTCTTACTTTTAAGCCCTGAAGCAGAGCTCTGTGGAGCTGGAAAGCTTGTCTCTCTCGCCAACAGAAGTTGGTCCAATGAAAGATATCACCTCTCCCACCTTGCCGCTCGAATAGCCAGGGCCAACACAGCTACAACAACACTGCAAACATACTTTTAATCTAATCTGTCTGTCTGTCTATCCTCACCAGCATTTTTAATGTGCCTCTCATAATGCCTAGGCACCAGAGCTACAGTTAAGGATTGCCCTGAAATTTGTAGAGTTTAGGGCCAGAGGGTCCACCAGCTCATTCAGTCTGACCTCCTGTTTGTCACAGGCCACCAACACAACCCAGTCACTTGCACACTAAAGCCATCAATAAAAATAAGACCAAAGTATTACAGCCCTCAGGAGACGAGGCTGTTCTGTGCCACAGGCAGAGAACAGAAGGGACTGAGGTGCGCTAATGCCTGAGGCCCAGCAGGTTTTGTTCCACATCTGGAGCCATCTGACCAAGAATACTGTGCCCTGTTCCTAGAGACGCATTGCTCTGGCTGCGGACAGGATGAGATAGTATATCCAGGCATGCCACTGTCACCACCCCCATCACTTACTTAGCTGCCCACTGATCACTGTGCCCCACAGCTCCAGGCACAGGAAAGCCAGAGACACTGATGGAGAGTGAGCCAGCCTGACCCTCCCTGACATCTTGGAGGAAGTTAGTTAACTGAGGCTAGGATTTCCAAAAGAGACTAAGGGAGTTAGGCACCCAATTCCCATTGGAATTCAATGAGATCTGGGTGCTTAACTCCTTTGAAATCCCAGTCTGTGCCCATAAAACTTACCTTATACCATGGCACTCTCTAGACCAGGGGTTCTCAAACTGGGGATCATGACCCCTCAGGGTCATATTACCTGGGGGGTCACGAGCTGTCAGCCTCCACCCCAAACCCCGCTTCACCTCCAGCATTTATAATAGTGTTAAATATTTTTAAAAGTGTTTTTAATTTATAAAGTGGGGGTAGCACTCAGAGGCTTGCTGTGTGAAAGGGGTCACCACTACAAAAGTTTGAGATGAGAATGACTGCTCTAGACCTCCATGCATTGGCAGCAACAAAAGACTGTTATCCTAATTGTGGAGTAGCCACTAGAGGGCAATGCAACAGGCACAATGCAAATCTGTTATACACGCACATAATTGTATA